TGGGCAGTGTTTGCTGTGGACACTGCTGTGGGCAGTGTTTCACCATGGGCAGTGTTTGGCCTCAGACAGTGCCCACCGTGTGCCGTGGGTTCCTGCAGGAGCAGCAGGCTCAGCTGGCAGCTCGAGGCAGGGCAGATGATCCAGGCTCACCTGGCAAAGCTGCTGCTCTCACACAGCTCCTCTCTCTGCTCTTCACAGTCGCTGCTTTGACTGCCAAGATCCGCACGCTCGAGGAGCACCTCCAGAGGCATCCCAAGGTAACTCGGGGATCTGAGCCCACCTGCAGCAGCTGCTCAGGTGGTTGTCTCAGTTTAGAACAAAAGGATTTTAATCCTGGGGATTATGGCTTTCCTAAGGAGGTTTATGAAATAGTTACAGCTGTTCCTTGGTGCCAGTGTGGGGAGCTGCTGGCTCAGGCACAGCTGGATTCTCACCAACTCTGATCCATGTTCTGGTTTGTTACTGTAGTGGAGGAAATGGCTGAGCAGATTCCTTTGGGCAGAGTTGAGCTCCATTTCTGCTCGCTGCAGATGTGGCTTCACCATTTAGTTTTCACTAATTAATGAAGGCAGCTGCAGTAATAACAAGGAGCAAAGTCTACTTGTTCTGCTCATGGAAATGTTTGGTGGGCAAGACCCACTTCCCTGCCTGCAGCTACCTGGGTTCAGGCCCAAATTCTCGACTGAATTTATGACCAAGAGATATTAAAGGTCCTTTATGAAGGACCAGAGGTGTAAAATGGATTGAAAACTGCATTTGGAAGAAGTGAATAATTGTTATTCACGAAAACTTGAAGGGTAGAAGAGAACAGAATTCAGTTTTTTATTACAGCCAGAAGCTGTAGCAAGTGTTGCAGCAAAGAGACCTTTTGGAATTCCTTGGCTGAAGCCTGTTCTTCACACAAATCACTCCTACAGGACAGGGAGATGTCTCCTGTGAGGGATTGCTCTGTCTGGTGTGGCTCAGGCTACACTTGTGCCCTTCCAAAGAACAGTCACAGAGCCAATCACAGATTGTTTTCGTATTTAAAACAAAGGTGAATGCTTCTGTGTTATTCTGGAGCAGCACACTTCAAGGGAAGCAGGTTTTAGCCAGAAGACCTTCCCTGCAGCTTTGACACAGCCTGGAACTGTTCATGAGCTGAAAACAGTCTTCAAGGAAGGTGAAGGTGCAGCTGTGGAATGCAAAAAGCAATTCCAGTGCAAAGTAAATTATATCTCCCTTGGATCACCTCATGCTGACCTGATGTACTCGCAGTGTCTGCCAACAGAAGTTGTTCTAAGACTCTGTCCTTAACCTGATCGTTCCCTTTCAGCCAAAATCTGGTCTGTTCTCAGTAATTTATTGGAATGGCAGGGCAATCTGTCTGCAGCAGAGTGAACGATGGGTGCTTTGCAGGACAAAAGCAACCGCCGGTGCATGCTGATGGATCTGGACCGGCGGAGGAAGATGCTGGGCTACCTGCGCCGGGTCAACTACAGCACCTTTGAGAAAACCTGCAAACAGCTGGACATCCAGTACAGCCCCCCACAGCCCTACGCCCGCCGCATCACCAAGCGCTGGCTGGTCAAGAAGGCTTTGTGCATCAAGGTATGGAGCAGGCTGGACAGGGAGAAACCCCATGGTAGAAGTTGGAAATGACTGAAAGCCGAGTCCTCCTAAGCCAGGTTTTGACTTTGATTATGTAAAAATCTGTAAAGTTCTACCACGAGCTCCATGGGCAACAGTTACATCGTGGGCACCGACACACATGCTATGCTCAGGCGCTTCAGGTTGTGCTGCTGGTTTGCTCAAAAATGTGTGATTCTAAATGGCTTTTTTTTCTCAAAGCCTGGTATGGGAAATGATATGTGAGATAATTTGATGGCAGTTTGGAACAGAAATGTGGGTGCACCTACTGTCTGCCCTGCTCAGAATATATGGGTGTAAGTGCTGGATGCAGTACATCTTGATATAACTGAGCAGAACCAAAAGCTGGATGTTTGTAAATGCTAAATTTCAGTCCAATGAAATTCTAACCAAAGGACTCGACCAAAGGTGTCCAAGGAATGACTGGACACGGCACTCAGTGCTGTGTTCTGGTTGACAAGTGGGAATCAGTCACAGGTTGGACTCTGGTCTCAGAGTTCTTTTCCAACCTCAGGGATTCTGTGTTTGGGTGGCTGTAGTGGAATAACCCCAGATGATTCCCTCGAGCAAGGAAGGCACAGAGAGAAGAGCTCATCTGAGTTGTGATGCAGCAGTTCTGCCGGCACCTCCATCTCTCACTTTCCCACCTCGTTTTGCTCCTGCAGGTGTTCCAAGAGAAGCAGAAGCTGAAAGCAGCAGAGAGACTGAAGCAGAGGAGACAGCGGCAGGCAAGAGCAAGAGCTGCACGGGAACAGCAGGAGCAGCAGGCACAGAAGCAAGCACAGGAGGGAACACCTGTGTAATGGCATGGCCAGGCTGACAATAAACACCCACCCAAAGACCTCATGCCTCTTCTCTCCTGTGGTGTGGTCTGCACCGTTCTGGGCACCTGGGAAGGGCAGTGAGTGGTTTAAGTGATTTAGAAGTTTAACTTTAGGCCAGTGCTGAGCAGGTCAGTATGTGAAAGGACCTGGGGACTCCAGCACTACCCCACAGCTGTGTCAGTGGGAGCAGCTCAAGGGGCTGCCTGTGTCCTGTCAGCACAGCCAGCCCAGAGGATTGCGCTGTCACATTTTATTTGATATTTATAAACCAAAACTCAGAAATTGAGATTGGATATCATGAATAAATTCTTCCCTGTGAGGATGGTGACACCCTGGCACAGGCTACCTGGAGAAGCTGTGGCTGCCCCTGGATCCCTGGCAGTGTCCAAGGCCAGGTTGGGCAGGGCTTGGATCAGCCTGGGATAGTGGAAGGTGTCCCTGGCCATGGCAGGGGGTGGAATGAGGTGGGTTTTAAGGTCCCTTTCAACCCAAACCATTTACATGCAGTGCAGCCGTGTTTATGTGCAGGAATGATCCATACAGAGACCAGGGATGTTGCACACACAGATCAGGGGTGATGCACACAGACAGGGAGAACGCACACACAGACTGGGACAACGTGCACACGCACCGGGATTGACATGGACGGGGACGATGTGCACACACACCGGGGACAATCTGCACGCTCAGACCATGATTGCACACAGACTAAGACGATGTGCACACTCAGAC